GAGCAGCGCTTTGGCGTTCGGGAAATGTGCAGCGGCGGCAACAAAAGGAGCAGTAGTCCTTGTCTATGGCCAATGTGTTCCTGCCCCAATGTGTGTGTGTGTTTGCCATGGCTAAATTTGCATTTATTTTCTGAGGGTATGTTCAAATGTGCAACGAACTGTGCTTGAGTAGAAGACAGGCGGAGTAGAAGAGCCAGCGCAATCAAAGACGAAGAACTGAGATCGCTCCTTCGTCCTGTTCCACTTTTTTTTCCCCAGTTCAGCCGCCGGCTGTTCGTGTCCATTGCATCCTTTGGCTCCCTTTATGCACCCCTTTGCCGTGTCCATCTCGAAAACAGCATAAGACAAATGTACTAGCACAGCTGACCCTGCAGCCAAATCCAAATCCCGGCCAGAGATCCATCTGAGGAGTGGAGATCCACATTCACATTCACATTCGCATCCACCGAGACGGCAAATGCCTTTGATTGCTTTTAAAGTGTTCTCAGCTCGAAATTGAATTTGCCATTAGTCGCTGGCAACTTGTAAATTCAAATAAGCTCAACCCTCCAGGATCCTCGTCGCCCACTGTTCCTGTGTTTTTCATTGCGTCATGCTGCATAATGAGCTGCAAAATCTTTGCCCGGCTTACATGGCGTGTGAGTGACATTTAATTTGCCGTCGACAGCGTTCGCATAAAACTCAAATAGCGCCCTGGTGGAAATCTACCCTTAAACTAGTTAAGTAATTGTGCCTTAGTTTTAATGGAAAGGTAAAGGTTGCTCACTGGAATATAAGAGTTTATTGATTTTTAAATGGAACTTAAAACTAAGAGGCCTATGACATTTGGTTAACTGTTTACCAACTAAATGATTTATTTAAACTCAAGTTATGGAATGTAAGTGTGCAGTTTTGGGTTCAGAAACTGAAAGCCATTGAAAAGAGGGACAAATGACACTCGCTTAAAATAAATATTTAAGAGCGAGAATTAAATTACGAATCCATAGAGGTATCTTACGTCTAAATCGGAATCATATAACTTGAGGTATGGAATTTGGAAGTGCAGTTTTGGGCTCCCATTTTGAAGACCATTGGAAATAAGGAAAAACCGAACATGAAAATGGGTCTAAACTTGGACCCTCGCTGAAAAAAAATATTTAAATGTAGAACATTAGAGAATTCAATCACAAATCCATAGAGGCATCCCACGTCTAAATCGGGATCGTATACCTCAAGTTATGGAATTTGGAAGTGCAGTTTTGGGCTCCCATTCTGAAAGCCTTTAAAAATAAGGAAAAACCGAACATAAAAATTGGTCAAAATTTGGACCCTCGCTGAAAAGAAATATTTTAATGCAGATTATTAGAGAATTCGATTCCAAATCTATAGAGGTATCCCACGTCCAAATCGGGATCGTATAACTCGAGTTATGGAATTTGGAAGTGCAGTTTTGGGCTCCAATTTTGAAGACCATTGGAAATATCGAAAAACCGAACATGAAAATGGGTCAAAATTTGGACCCTCGCTGAAAAGAAATATTTTAATGCAGATTATTTAAGAATTCGATTCCAAATCTAAAGATGTATCCCACATCCAAATCGGGATCGTATAACTCGAGTTATGGAATTTGGAAGTGCAGTTTTGGGCTCCCATTCTGAAGACCATTGGAAATATCGAAAAACCGAACATGAAAATGGGTCAAAATTTGGACCCTCGCTGAAAAAAAATATTTTAATGCAGATTATTTAAGAATTCGATTCCAAATCTAAAGAGGTATCCCACGACCAAATCGGGATCGTATAACTCGAGTTATGAAATTTGGAAGTGCAGTTTTGGGCTCCCATTTTGAAGACCATTGGAAATATCGAAAAACCGAACATGAAAATGGGTCAAAATTTGGACCCTCGCTGAAAAAAAATATTTTAATGCAGATTATTAGAGAATTCGATTCCAAATCTATAGAGGTATGGAATTTGGAAGTGCAGTTTTGGGCTCCAATTTTGAAGACCATTGGAAATAAGGAAAAACCGAACATGAAAATGGGTCAAAACTTGGACCCTCGGTGATAAGAAATATTTAAATGTAGACTATTAGAGAATTTGATCACAAATCCATAGAGGTATCCCACGTCTAAATCGGGATCGTATAACTCGAGTTATGGAATTTGGAAGTGCAGTTTTGGGCTCCAATTTTGAAGACCATTGGAAATAAGGAAAAACTGAACATGAAAATGGGTCAAAATTTGGACCCTCGCTGGAAAGAAATGTTTAAATGTAGAACATTAGAGAATTCAATCACAAATCCATAGAGGCATCCCACGTCCAAATCGGGATCGTATAACTCGACTTATGGAATTTGGAAGTGCAGTTTTGGGCTCCAATTTTAAAGACCAATGGAAATAAGGAAAAACCGAACATGAAAATGGGTCAAAACTTGGACCCTCGCTGATAAGAAATATTTAAATGTAGAACATTAGAGAATTCAATCACAAATCCATAGAGGCATCCCGCGTCCAAATCTGGATCGTATAACTCGAGTTATGGAATTTGGAAGTGCAGTTTTGGGCTCCCATTCTGAAGACCATTGGAAATAACGAAAAACCGAACATGGAAAGGGGTCAAAATTTGGACCCTCGCTGAAAAGAAATATTTAAATGTAGAACATTAGAGAATTCAATCACAAATCCATAGAGGCATCCCACGTCTTAATCGGGATCGAATTACTCAAGTTATGGAATCTAGAAGTGCAGATTTGGGGGCCCATTCTGGAAGCCATTGGAAATTTGAAAAAATGGAACATGAAAATGGGTCAAAATTTGGACCCTCGTTGAAAACAAATATTTAAATGTAGATTATTAGAGAATTCAATCACAAATCCATAGAGGTATCCCACGACTAAATCGGGATAGTATAACTCGAGTTATGGAATTTTGAAGTGCAGTTTTGGGCTCCCATTCTGAAATTCATTGGAAATACGGAAAAACCGAACATGAAAATGGGTCAAAATTTGGACCTTCGTTGAAAACAAATATTTTAATGTAGAACATTAGAGAATTCGATCATAAATCCATAGAGGTATCCCACGACTAAATCGGGATCGTATAACTTAATTTATGGAATTTCGAAGTGCAGTTTTGGTCTCCCATTCTAAAAGTCATTGGAAATACGGAAAAACCGAACATGAAAATGGGTCAAAATTTGGACCCTCGTTGAAATCAAATATTTTAATGTAGATTATTAGAGAATTCGATCACAAATCCATAGAGGTATCCCACGACTAAATCGGGATCGTATAACTCGAGTTAAGGAATTTCGAAGTACAGTTTTGGGTTCCAGTACTGAAAGCTCCTGGAAATACGGTTTCTATTATTCAACTGTCTTAAATTGCCTGTATAAAAAATTAAAATTGATGAACTACAACTTTCACTTAAACAAAAATGCAGCTACCTAATAAAAAAGGGTTATACTTTTACCATCCTTAATCAAATCGCGAGTCGTCTTTTGTTTCAGATTTGGAGCCCCACCAACGGAGATTATTTATTGGATGGCAGGCAGCTCGCAGGAGCACTAAAATCCGGAAGCCAACCGGATCTCCAGCTCGCATTTTACAGCTAATAACAAATGACCCGAGGTTGCTTGTCGTCGGCCACGTTTTTCAGCCGGGCACGTACGCATAAATTTCGACAAGGCCGTTGGATATCCTTTTTTTGTTGCCCGAGTCAGGTGGGCTGAACCCAGTGCCCCTGCTTTGGTCCTTCAGTCCCCTGGCGTTGGCCCATAAACATAATGACCAGCTATTATGGCCGGTCGACTCGGCTTGCAGGGCAGCAGAAAACACATGTTTGTCAGTCAAGTTATGTGCCAAGTGTAACATATTTTAAATAATTGATGAGCGAACCCGACCCGGCAGCTGTTCCTGGTTCCTGGTTTCTCTTCCTGCGGAAATCCAGATCCCGCCCGCCTCGTGCTGTATATTTGCATGGAAAAGCCTTTGGCTGGCCATCAATTAGACGCACTGCCTGCCGACATGGCTGTCACTTTTTGCTGTCGACGCCAGAGATTCAAAAGGAGCGTCGGCTGGAAATGCCTTTGGCCCATCCGTTTTCTTGCCGCAGGCGGTGCATACATTACAAACACTTCAATTTCCGTCTGCCAGTCAGTCCACTTCAGAAGTCGAAGCCATGGCCAAAGCCAAGGCCTGATTCTGATTCTGAATCAGTTTTTTTTCACCCATCCCCACCCTACGAACCAGACAACTGTAATCAAAGCAAATTAATTATCTATGTCCTCCGTTGTACGCCGCCTTTTTTCAGCCATCTCGCTTATATACTCGTACCTTTCAAGCCTTTCATGTCCGGCACAATGTCGTCTGGCGCTGTCAGGACGCTCCACCCGGTCCACCCGGTCCACCCGGTCCTCTTGGTCCACTCGGCTGTCTGCCTCGATGGCAGGCGGCAAAAGGCAAGAGTTAAATGACGGCCATTGATGCCTGGTTTATAATTCAATGTGCAGCCGCACTCCAGAGCACATACTCATCGAAGGAATACCAGCAATATCTTCCATTCCCTCAAAGGAAGTCAGCAAAAAAGTGCAAATGCCAAAACAATGACAGACACGGCAAATAAAGGACCTGCTGGGAATTATAGAGGGAGAAGTGCGAGATGAGTCTGCCGATTGGCTTTCGTCTAAATTTTTAATTAATATTTCAAAAGGTACACTCGGAAAAAACCTTTAAAAATGTTAAATAACAAGACAAAATTTATAAACTTCAACAAAAAAAAGAATTTAGAGTTGTAGGTGATTTAATAATATAAGAAAAGTATTGTAACTGAAAAGTTTTATTTTGGGAATTAGAAAAAGGTAGTATAATAAAAAAAGTTTGGTTATTTCTTTTCGTAACTTAAGAAACTAAATACATTTTCTCTTAGTGAATTTCTTTTTCGAACTTAGAGTGAAACTAATGAAGTTAGTTACCGAAAGCCCTTTTGCCATAGTGAATCCAAATCAGTTGCCCTGCTTAGAGCCAGTTTTATTTCAACATGCGGCTCCTAATCACATGTATCTGGCTCATCCTAGGGCTCGACTTTAGTGCTTCCATGTGGGTAAAGAGGTACATCGAAAACTACCATAGACCCACATACCGCAATCGTGCCCACAGTTCCGATAAACACGTGAACTACAATCGTGAGGCCCTCGAGAATCGGAAAAAACCACGAACGTTGGAAGCCCACACCAGGCCTCCTTTTGATCACGAAAAGCACGTGTCCTTCTACGTAAATGTCCTCAATGAGGGATCTGTGATCTGTGCAGGGGCCCTGATCTCACACAGGATGATCATCACATCGACGCACTGCTTCTATGCCACAGGAACCGATGCGACTTACGAGTATACGGCCAAAAAAATGACCATACTGACTGCCATTGATTTCGCACCGAATACTGAACCACACCAGGTGAAGGCCTTTTTCATGCCGGTGAACCGGGATGACCACTTTATCAACCATGTGGCTCTGCTCGCCCTGGTCCACAAGCTCAAGAGGAACCAATATCACTATATTCCTCTGAATCGCAAGAAGCCTAAAATGGGTGATAGCGTTAAGATGGCCTTTCTGGGACCACCCACTTACAAGGTCACTTTTTACAAGACCCGGGTTTTTGAATACGATCGTTGCCGAATTCACTACGGTCTGAAGGACTTTTTCCACATCTCCACCTTTGAGTCGGACTTCTTCTGTGTGATGAATAAGAAACACTCGAAGAAGAGCACCTGCAGCACCCGACCCGGAGATCCCTTACTTGAGGATAACAAACTGGTGGGAATAAATATATATGGGGAGCACTGCGACGAGGACGATGACTCCACCAACATGGACATATACATACCGATCAGGGCTGTCGTACCATTCATCCAGATGGCCACGGATGCGCTCAGGGGTTTCACTGCAACGGGTCCCTACAACACCTCTATAAAAGCCCCGTTATCACCCCTGCTTCAGTTCTTGGCCGATAAGGATCCCAATATTTACGTTGGCGTCAATGTTCCCGAACTTCCCTTCGGTGATCCCCTCAATGGTGGAACCCCTGAGGACGACAAGGGTTCAATGGAGCACCATGTCGAAGAAGTTCCCGAATATTATTAGTTGTGTTCGCAAAACAGCTAAGAATATAAGCTTGATTTAATAAAGGTCATTTTCGAGAGAAATAGGGATAATATTTGTATTTTTCTTAGATACAAAAATATAAGTATATTGTTAAATAAATGGTAACGGCTTAGAAGCTTTGTGTTTTTTTACATAAATACACCAAAATTGGCATGGAAAATCAATTGTTGGGGTGTCAAATGGATTACGTAACATTTTTGTAAAGTGATAAAATATAAATATAAAATATAGTCAGTACCAGGGGTTTCCTTGCGTCACGATGATGCGTTCACTTTGGATTTTTCAAATCCTGCTACTGGTAGTCCTAGCAAATCAGTCGGAATCAAGCAAGACACACTTTCATCGCTATATGATGGGCGAATATAAAGCGCAGCACAATCCAAAAACACAGATGGACTACAAACGAACTCGTACTGCAAAAACTGATGCTGAGGCGGTACCAGGTGAAATAAATGGTACTGTGCATTATGGCACCTCCAAGGAGCCCGTGGTGAGGTTGACTAAGTCAGGAAAGAAAGTACTGCTCCATGAGCTAATGGTTCGCATCTATCAACATAACAAGTACATTTGCATGGGAACTGTGATTTCCGAAAAGCTGGTGATCACCGCATCCACCTGTTTCGATGATGGAAGCCCTGATATAGTGTCGATGAAGATGTTCGACGATGAAATCCTCGACGGGTTTAAGTATCCCCTGAACAAGACTTTCCTGAAGGGCGCCGATTCTATGCTAGTCGCCATTAAACTACCGAACTCCCCCCACAAATCCAGTGTAATGGGCGACACAGTGAAGCTCTGCGACATAGAACTGCCAAACTACAGTCCCGTTGAATTGCCTCTTTGGATTCGAAGTCGCCACAGCATTCACTCGCAGATAACTTACACAGAGCCCATCCAGGAGTGCCGGCATCGTCTGAAGGATCCGAGAGGAGTTGTGGCCACCAGTACAATGATCTGTGTGAAGAATATGAAGTATACTGCCCTATGCCAGCACGCCGTTGGGAATCCCTGATTCATCACGAAGAATATGTGGCATCAACGTGGCGGGCCATAATTGTCCCGCCTTCACTGGAGTCGATTTATATCTTAGGGTCTACGATGCTCTCGACTTCTCTATAAGAGGCATGGAAATTATTAAAAACAGCCATATAGAAGACACAATATTGTAATTGTGAAATAAATAAAACACTTTTAAGTTGATTTTTAAAAGCTTTAGAAAAAAGAGTTTTATGTACAGTTTATCCGAAACCATATTTAAATACCATTAGAAATCCATTACCAATTTTCGAATCGGTTGCTTTTTTTCCCCTTAAAGCCATGTAACATTATAGATGAAGTCAGTTTCAAATACCGCCATGTTGAAAGTGGGCATATTTTTGCTTTTGGCCTTACTAACATTTAGTCCAGGCGAATCAGGTACCAAACATCTCAAGATGCAATATAAGAATGGTAACTGGCGTCCACACTTCGGCTACAGACGCAGTCACTACGCAAATAGTCATGGTTGATTCCATCAGTACTTTTACGATTTGATATAAGGCAGTTGGAGGAAGTACAATTCCAGATTTACTAAATAAAAAATGTAAGCACCGTAAATAATTAATAATAAAAGAGACACATTATCATTCCTCAAATCGGTTCCATGGCCTTTCAAAATAGGCGAGACAAATCTTAGGTATTCAAAGGGCCTCATTTCAGTCATTTACATTTAGTTTTATCTGTGATCATGCTAAAAATGGGTATACTTTTTATGGCTTTGCTGGGTATAAGCCACGTCAAACTATTGTTGGCTGGACCGCCCTGGAGGATTATCTAGTGCGTTTTATGGCCAGCGACAGGCTCATCTGCAGCGGAATCATTGTGAATCGGCGACAGATTTTAACCGCTGGTTATTGCAAGCCAGATCAGCATGCGGAGAACTTCACTCTGGTATTCTCCGATGGCTCTACAAACACTGTCACGGATAGCACTGTGTCCCAATATTACACAGCCAAAGAATCCAGTGATTTGCTGATCCTACTTCATTTGAGCAAAGAACTTGGGGAAAAGTTCACCAATCCGCCACCCATTTGCCAGTACCGACCTCCTACTGAACATCAAGTGGAGTATTGGAGCTGGAATGGAAACATTCTGCAAAGAAGTACACTCCACAGTCGACGACCTTGGAATGCAGACGTGAAATCAAGGATCCCGAGGGTGTGGTCATCGGCAATGATATCGTTTGCTTGAAAAACATGCAATATTCCGAGGGTTGTGTGAAAAACTTTGGCATACCCTTTGTGTGGCGCAACAGCTTTTGTGGAATTAACATATTGGGACATAATTGTCAAATTGCCAGTAAAGCGGATATATTTGTTCGACTGCGAACAACCAACTGAAGTGCCATTTAACTCTTATATTAAAATTGTGGTGCTAAAGTAATTTATTCTGTTACAAACAATTTATAAAATTAATAAATTATACGTCACCTGGATCTTGTCTGTTTTCTTAATTGTTTGAAGTGGTCAAATATCATCATAATCGCCTTATTTATTGTCCAAAATTATTTCTCTTAAATTAATCGATTCCCGAAACCAAGTTCAGAGCTGCGAAGATCAAATGAAAACAATTTTGTGTGTGCAACAAATATGACATTAAATTGTTCTGCCTCATTTCCGTTCGACTGGCTGAGGTTCAATCAAATTAATGAAAAATTGCTGCCGCCGCCGCCGTTGCCGCTGCCAAATCAAAGTTGCCCCAAAAGAAGGGCCATTAAACGCGCAGACGCTTAGCAATATTTGCCGGGAAAAAGTCCTTTGGCTCAGTGTCATTGACGAAAAAAACCACCCAGTCGAATGAATGAGAAGAAACTGTACAAACACTGAGATGAAGTGGCAGTGGCAGGAAAAAAGTACCTTTTGTATTGCAGCGATAATGTCATCAACTAAAGTACTCCGTCGGGCATAGTGAAAAGTTCTAGTCAATCGCCATAAAGCGCCATATAATGTGACGGCGAGGCTGGGACTCCGGAACTCAGATACTCTGAAACTCGTAGATACATTGGATGTTGACAGGCGCATACAAACTGTGTAAACATCATTAAAATGGTTTTTCCTCTAAGGCCCTCTCTCCTACCACCAAATCGAAATGGAAAATCATTGAAATTATATTTCTGTCCATGTGTTTTCTTTTGGTTTTTTCGATTTTCCTTTTTGATCTTCGTGCTGCGATTTGTCCCCCTTTCCCGGGGAACGAGGTCCTTGCAAATTAGCCACATATCATTTTATGGAAAAAGCACTTTGGCAAATTAAACTAAATAATTCAAGGGCGCGGCCGCAGTTCATAAATTGGGGCAGGGGCATAACAAACAAATTTGCGCCTCTCCATATTTTCTTTTGTTTTTGCAAATATTTTTTGAACAGACATTCACGCACTTATAAGCGAATATGTGGCTGCAGCTGGTTATGGAACTGTTTGACAAGAAAAATGCGGTCGTCTGCTCGAGGGAGAACCCAAACAATGCTAAACGAAAAAATTATACCATACACAAAAAAAATAGATCATATAAATCCTCTTATTCTTCTCAATCTAATAATTGTTTAGTAAATTTCTGAATAATTCAATGTATCTTATTATATATTTTTTCTATATTTTCTTTATTATACCAAGAAATTTATTCAATTTTGCAGGATTTTAAGAATAGAAAAATACAGGAACCATTCAAATACTATTATAACTGAAACAATATTTTTCAGTTTTGAATAGAATAAAGAAAATATTATATTATATTATTCAAAAATATTATATTCCACTCTAAGATCCTCTTATAATTCATGTTCTGAGATTTTTTTCTGTGCATAAATCGCATTTGTATGTGTGCACACGTCCTTGGCCCTCGTCTGTGTCTGGGTGTCTGTGAGGGTGTGCGTAAAATTTTACGATAATACGCAACAATTTCGAAATGAGTGCACCCTGCTAAGCGGCCTGGTCTGTCGAGCATTTCGAGTGCAAAGAAAGCAATTTCCTCAATATTCTTTATGGCCAACAAGAGGCGAGAGAAAGACAGAGACAGCTGCTGTAGGAGTGAGCGAGAGGGGGGGCAGGGGCACTCTTTGCTGGTTTTTTGTTATTATTTTCAAAGTTCCATAAGCTGGCTGCTAATAAAATTTTAGAAGCCTGTGTTGGGCTATTAACATTATCATAACACACACAGCCAAAGACAGCCATGGGTGTGTGTGAGTGGCCTTATAATAATCATGGTAACACACTCACACATACAACCGCTTACCCACACAGTCACACAACATAGACGCTGACACACATTTACATGCCACTTAGGCATTGTCGCCCATTCCTTTTGACTGGCGTTGCGTATACGCCGCGTTGTGCGTGCGCCTTATAATTCATTTATTGGCATAATTTCGTTTTATTTTTATTTGTTTTACGGCTTTTGCGATTGCCTTTGATAGGCAGGTTCGAGGGAAAGCTAGCGAAAAGATGTGAGAGCAGAGAAAGCGGCAAATTGAAAAAAAAACATCTTGAATATCGAATTTTGTTTCCTTGGCCGCCCTTGAATTTGCCGCGCCACTTAATTGCTAAGCTGCATACGCGACCCGGCATACAATTAGGTATCCCCTGGGTAACCTATGGGGCATCCTAGGGATATCCATCCGTGCATTCATTACAAAGCACTTTAATTCTAGCCAGCTTGAGCGCATAGATCACGCTCGGCTTAATAAATTCCCACGCCAATGGCAACCGAAAACAAAAGAATCCTTGGACGTCGCTGCCACTCAGTGGGGGCGTATGTCTTACCTGGCAGCAGCTGGAATTGGAGCTACAGCCACCGATTCAGCTCTGTCTGCACACTTGTCTGGTCGATGGGGACGTGACTGGAAAAATGCATTTCCGCTGCACGTAAAAACCGGGGAAAAACTAGCAAAAAAAAAAAATGTTGAGAAAAAAACACGGCAAACCCAGGAGCGAAGAGGAAAACGAGAGGCACGTAAGTCAATCAGCAACTGAGCAGCAGCCACAGGACTAAGGACCAAGTACCAAGGACTACCAACAACTAAGTATAACCCTAATGCAATGCGGAAGTCACACTCCAATTTGGACCAGGCATGGCGCCTGATTTTGTTGCTAACTGAATGAGTTACTTCCGCTTTGCCTAACAATTTTAAATAAAATCACATCACACTGGAAGGGGTTTCCTCTGCCAGCAACAAACTCGGACGCTAACCAATATGGACAATGGTGTCTGTGGATGAACCATCTCCTTTTTTTCCATATTTTTTTTTTGCACCCGGTGGATATATGGTAGATGTATATAGATGTGCCTCGCAACCGACGCGACGCTGGCCTTTGAAATATTTATGGCAGCAACAAAAGGCCATAAAAAGCCAATGCCAATATGCGAGTGAAGCACTGAATCTCGCTGGCCATTTGGTAGCCAATTTAATTCACTCCGGCGCAGAAATCCCTCTGGCAGCCTCAATTTATTTGCACTAAACTGATTGACACAGGAAATAGTCTATATTTGCAAGTCCATCATATTATTATGTTTCACAGCAATTATGTTTGCCGGGGGGAAAAAACAAATCAGTATATAATGAGTGGGTGGAAAATTGTGCAAATCATTACACTCAATTAATTGCTAGCGAAAAATATGAATTGCAAAATATTTCCACGCTTGTAAGCACACACACACACACACACCGATGAAGTAAATAATGCAATTATAATGCAAAAATAATTTAAACAAATGAGGGAGCTTCGCATTCCCCGTGGCAAACGTTGAATTCCAATTATTTAATAATCGCTGTTTTTGCTATTTGGCCAAATAGTTTCTGCCATATCAATAACATTCAATCACAATCCATTGGATAAAAACTTGTGAATGTTTGATAGCGAATTGCGCCAAGGGCTATGAATGAAATATCATCGATAACATGTAGCTCACCTGTTCGTTTCCCTTAACAACCCCTTGGTCCCCCCTTAACACCCGAAAACCTGACAGCTCATGGGTAATAGATAGTTTCGTCTGCTGCAATTAACACCTTGCGCGCTGCACACAAATATTTGCTAAACTTATCGAGCATTTATCAATGACAAGTGTGACAGAAAGCGATGATATGGTATGGTTTCGAGCGAGTCACGGCATAGGGCATTCGATACAATATCGCCCTTCTGCATGTGACGACACAGAAAGCTCTTGAAAATCAAATATAGAAATCGGGAAAGTGATAATATGAAAGGCGGCCGCACAGAAGTCATAATACAGAGCGTGAAGTCGCAATCTCGGCGATTTAGTTTCGCTTTTCGGCCCGACTTGTGACCACTTGGAACGCCATGCGGAAACGAAATCGGAATTACTTCAGTCGCTTTTATATTTCCCATGTTTGCCAGTGGAAAAATTTGTCGGCCCGCCGTTGCCTTTTCTATATCATTGCCTTTTTCATATGTCAATTGATCTTGGTACTCCAATTTATAGTCTATGGACGAAATAATGATATTCCCGCGAGTAAAGTGAGCTAGTTGCTTGGAATTTAAGGAATTACCACTTAAATCTATCAAGTTTTCTTCTCAGCCCTTACATCATGGAAATGACAGTGGGATCACTTCTGATTGGCGTGAATTTATATTTCATACACCGCCAAGATCAGAGGATTATTACCAGTACAATCTTCACTTAAGTGATACTTTGGGAGTAATTCGTAACTTGCCTTCGACAAGGCATTATGGGTAAGAAATTATAAAATAACTTGTTGTATTGATGGCTATCTTTAAATATTAAATATTTAAAGTATAGGTTTCTTGTGATCCTTTCCTCACAATCATTAACTTACTTTACTGTAAAAAATGTACTAAGGTATTTACCAATCATAATCTTAAAATTGGTTTTTTATTTAATGTCAATGCTCTAAGGGATAAACATTTATGATCTTAAACATTCATGTGTATTTTAATCCACCTTATTTTATTAAAGATACTTATGCTGTATGAATTTTAATATTATTCAATGTTTTTAAGATATTTTGCTTGCTTTTTCTTAGCTTAATATAATCCGCAATTGAACTATCGCCCTCTTATTTTAAAGGTACTTTTGTCATGGGATTAGTATTATTTAATTATTATTTTATTCCTAGCTGCATGGCCCGTCCATTTAAACATCCGCCCCCTTTGGCATCCAAAGTGAGTGTGGTGATCAGTTTCCACAACGAGGCGCGTTCGATGCTGCTGCGCACCATAGTTTCCCTGCTGCGACGCACGCCGGAGGAGTATCTGCATGAGCTAATCCTGGTGGACGATGGCAGTCAGGATGGTAGTTTATTGAACCCGAACTTCCATTACTTACGCACTTATCGCACTCAATTAATAGTTACCCTGCTGGACGACCTAATGCGATGGATGGACGGGTTTCTTGGGGCCCGAAGGGATCGCCTGGGGCTCATCTTCCGCAAAAACCAGAAGCGCATGGGCCTGATTTCCTCGCGCAACAGGGGCGCCTCCTTGGCCAGCGGACATTATGTGCTCTTCCTGGACAGCCACTGCGAGGTGAACGAGGAGTGGCTGGAGCCCCTGCTGGAGCGACTGGCTCTCAATCCCCATCTGGCAGTTAGCCCACTACTTGACCCCATTGACCCGACCACCCTGAGTTACCGGAAGGGCAACGAGATGCTGAAGGGCGGTTTCGATTGGTCTCTGCACTTTCACTGGCTCAAGAGGCAGTTGGCCATCAAGGAGCTGCCCGAGATGGCCTACAAAAGTCCTGCCTTCGCTGGAGGAGTCCTGATGATGTCACGCGATTGGTTCCTTAAGTTAGGCAGCTTCAATTCGTATCTGAAGGTGAGAGCTAAACCTAATTAGCCAGTGACAAGTGGTCTAATTGCTAATGTCGAACCGAGAACCGAGCTTTCTCTGCCACTTTTCCCAGCGAATTCCTCTGTTTTTTTCTGTATTCCTTTGCAGATCTGGGGCGGCGAGTCCATCGAGCTGGCCATTAAATTGTGGCTTTGCGGTGGACAAATTGAGATCGTGCCCTGCAGTCGAATCGGACACATCTTCCGGCGGCGCCACGCCTTCGACTTCCCACCGCAATCCGACCAGGACCAGCAGTTGAGCCCGGCCCAGGAAACCTATCTGCAGTGAGTGCTCCAAAGTGCCGAGGTCGGGGATTAGGTGTGAAATGGACGCACCGCACCGCCTCTGGTATTTTTCAATTTATTTCATCACAGCGTCCGTTTAATATAAACATTCCAATCGCATGCTGATTGGACTGCTCCCCTTTCCCAGCAATTCAAAAATCATAGCCGAGTCCTGGCTGGACGAGTATAAAAATATGTTCTACGCACTGAGGCCGGTGGCCAGGCGAATTCCATTGGATCACACCTACGACGAGATGCAGAAGTTGAGGCGGGAGCGACAGTGCCATCCCTTCGAATGGTATCTGCGGCATGTCAATCCCGAACTAAGGTCAGAGCACTGGAACAAATATTATATCAGAAATTGGGTGTTCACTGGTAATATAAGTAGATTATTATTATTATTGTTAGTAGATCATCTACCCTAGAAAATACCACTGAGAATTATTGAGAATATATTTCAAACTAGAAATTTTAATTATTCATATTCATAAAACATTCTTTGTAAGCTAAGATATTTGACAGATGATAAGTTCGTCATTTTAATGTGGTAAAAAAAAATGTAAAAACATGGATGGTTTGAACAAGATAATAGTATACAATATTGGTCCTTAAGTGCATTGCGCTTGAGGTTGATTCTTGGTTTCCAGTGGATAACTTTCTGTAAACAGATAATTATTTTAATCTTTCATATTAATTCATAAGTATTGTTTTATATAATTTTTATTAGAACATTTAATTTCAATATTTTTTTAATTTTTAATGGTAAATATTGATATTAAATTTTCGGAAAATGCTTGTACGTTTTATTTTCTGTGTACTCAGCTTTCTGAGTTTTTATTAAATTAAAAATAACCAACTCCCAATCATTTCGCAGGCTGCACTTTGATGAACTGTCGGCGACGGGAACGCTGCGGAATGAGGATCGGTGTCTGCATGCCAGACAGAAGGACTCGCAGCTGATCCTGGCCAGCTGCTACCTCAGCGACATCACCCAGTGGAGCATGTTGCGCAGCAGTGGACAGCTGAGCACCCAGCGGGAGCTGTGCTTGGGCGTGGGATTAAGGATGCGGGTAACCCTGCAGCCGTGTGGCAGGAATGAGACCACGAGGAAGTCCCAGCGATGGCTGCGCCTCGGAACCCACCTCCTCCATGCCGAGACGCACCTCTGCCTGGATAATCCGCTCAGGGACCGACTGGAGATGAGCACCTGCCGTTCGCATGCCGTATCGCAGTCCTTTCAATTTGCATTGGAAATGGAGTGGCAGACATAAACTTTGCCTAATGATACTCAATTACTCCGCTCGATTCGAAATACCCCAAAATTCTGATACTGATTCGATGAACCTGAGCCTCTTAGTTCTGTGATGGTTGAGTGTTTCTGTGTTTGTGTTTGGGGTAAATCTCTTGGCATGCAGGTAAATCAAAATGCTGACATGTTGTGCTAATCTCTGTGAAACATTTCCGCTGGCGGCCATGGCCATAGATTACGGAGGCGGCGGTAAATTATGGCGCCATAGATATAAGGAAAGGTGCTTCCTAACTCCGAGATCCTTGTTCCTCCTTTTTTGTTTTTTTTCTCAGCAGCCTTTGTTGCCGTCGTCCGACTATCAAGACTCGCAGCGCTTCCTGTCGCATCCGTCACACGAGACAGGATACAATGGTTCCTGGGGGCGGCGGCGGCGGCTGGGAAATGGGGGCGTGGCCAGATAAAAGCCAACGACGCCGCGCGTATTGTGCGGCTTGTTTAGGCGGCCCCTGTCATCAGTCAGCGAACAGGGAACAGCGAACAGCGAACAAAAGCTTCCCTTCGGCGGCAAGGAGTCAGTCGCAAATGTAATTGAGTTGATGACAATGCCACTGACTGCCCGGCTCGCGCTTCCGGCAATTTTGATGGCCTCCGGATGTCGGCGACAAAAAGCGGCGACACCGGAAACAAGACCAAATAAAACAGGAACAGCCGTAGCAGCAGTAGCATCTGAAACATCAACTGCAAAGGCAGAAGTTCATGGTGTGCTGAAGCATTTGCCAAAGTGCAGTTGTTGCAACTTAAGATTTGTTTTGTTTTCACCATTCTTGCGGTAATAAAGCGTAAAAGTTAATTTTGTATCTCAACAATGGCAACAAGTGTGTCCACAGGGCTGACAGTGAGTCCGCCGACTGTAATATTTTCCTCACAATGGCCGCGTGCAGCTGCGCGTAAAAATCGCATTTTTCACGGAACTTAATAAAAACAAAAAGAAAGGGGGCGGTGGGAAAAAAGATAGAAAGAAAGCTTTAGGAAGTCTAACAAGTTGCTGGTGCTTTGGCATCGGGTTTGGCTCTTCTAGTTTTCCCGGAAAGTTATGGCCGCATCCGCCCGCGACATTTTATTGTCCTGCTGCACCTGAAATGCAAGTAACAATAAAGCGAGCCCTCTCGGTAATAAAACGGCGAAGCACTAGAAAATTTAATTTTCTATAAACTTTGTCCAGGTAACGCAGGCAGGCAGGCAGGCAGGCAGGACTCTCCAAATTGCCGTCGACCACTTTAAGAATCCTTCGTCATTTGGCTAAAATGCTGTCAGTCCTTGACTTGGATTCGTCAAATTTGTATTGCCTTTTGAAACAAGAGCTGGATTGGATGGTTTCGAAAAAGCAGCCCCATCATCGAGTGAACTGAAAAACTGAAAAACTGGGCTCAAGGACGGACCTTAATTATGAGCGGTACCATCCGACCAGCCATGCAAAACTTGATTATTCATTTGAAGACTCATTTTATTATCTGCATAAATCTTTGCCGAACCCACCAGCCACAACTTTCTGTTTACTTTGTTGGGGGGAGGCTAAGAGCTCGCAGGCCAAAAGGAAAAAAGACAAAATGGAATCCATCATTCACTGGCGTGGCCGCATTTAAAACATCTTGATTAAAAAACTAAAAAAGGCGACTGGGAAAAGCTAGAAGAATGGCGGTCGGTGAAATGGTAAAATGAAAGCCAAATGCAAACTCAGCGCATTCTAAGTGCGCCAGTGGAAAAACAAAAAGGATAGGAAATTCGCGGAAAAAATTAAAAGAAAAAAAAACGAAAAAAACAAAATGAGAGAAGGCTAAAAAACTTATAAGCCGCGAGCGTAGAGCCAAGTTGCGGAATAACCGCTGCTGGGCAGCGTTTAAAAAGGGATTTCAAAATTAACGTCCATCAGGCGGGAAACAAAAAAAGCAAAAAAAAAAAAAAAGAAAGAAAAGAAAAGTCAATTTGAATGATTAAATAGCGAAAGCTGTGTGTAAAAGTTGTGTCGCCGTACCGCCATCGACCCCAAAAACCCAACCATTTCCAATCCAAATCCCGAGCGTAGCGCCCACCAAAAACAGAGAAAAAGGCGATTAGTGCGGTCTTTTGTGTGACTTAAGCGTAGCCATTGCCATCGCCTCCTTTTTTGGGCACTCTCAGGCGGATTTACATTTATTAATTCCCCTGGCAGCTGCCGAAAAAAGGGTCAGGTTTCTGGCCGGGTTATGTATGCGAGTAAATAAAAACATGTGAACGTTAGCGCAAAAAGCGATAATCCATCATTTTTGTCACAGGTTGACTTTGGCGCTCGAACAGTGGTTAAATCTTTTCGAAACCACCATGCAAAGTGGATGTTATCTGCCCCACTTTAGATCAATTTTTGGTTGAGCTACACACTGATAAAAAGTGTAGTATATCCAATAATTTCATTGCCAATTTAAATAATGTAAAAGTAAATATAGAAATTCTATTTGATAAAATTGAGAAATGATAAAAGTAAATATAACTAAATTGTAACTAATAAATATAACACCTTTTTCAAAATATGTTCAAGTGAAATCATGCAATTATAATATTGTTTTTGTAATTAATTCAAATATTATATATATATTTACTATTTCACTTTTGTAGCAGTGTATCAAATCTATTTCTATTTAAAAATCACATTTTTCTAGTTCACCCACTGTAATTTCTTCTCACGACGACCAAAAGTTCATGTCCCTGGCAGAGACTGGTAATCCCTATCGCATGATTATGCCAAAAATGAACCAATCCATCGCAGCTCACGAAAAAGGTTGAGCTCAGTGTCCCTGCAAGATGGGTCCTTCAATGCCAATCCCAATCCCATTCCCGATTCCGATCCCCGTGAGTGGGTTGTGGGGCATGGGTGTTGTGTGTTGTGTGTGCCATGCGGATTATCAAGCCGGCAGCCCAGAGGAGCACCCAAACAATTTTGACGCAATGAAATGATTTTGATGAAAAATTAAAAAGCATTTCAATCACGTCGAAAGTTTTCTGTTTTTCACACAAAAATTGTTGCTTGTGCCGTTGAAAAGGGAAAATGCAGGGCGAGTGAAAATTTCAAGTGGGTGTGTTGTGTGGCTGATGTGAAGGTCCCAACTCTCATGTCTGGCAGTCATTTATTTAGATGCTAATTTAAGTGGGCGCCTGGAATAATGCTTTCCATTTTGGTGAAAACGCTGCAGAAGTGGTGGTTCAAGGTTGGTTTGGGGACTTACAGGACTTAAATAGTTTTTGAGTGTAGAAAAAAATGTATTTTTAAACATCAGCATACACAAATCATACATTTTCAATTAATTTCCATTAGTTACATTATGAAAGAGTAATAGGTAAATGAATTATTATTTACAGATTAATCATACAATTATTAAAAATTCAATGGAAAATATTGATTGAAAGGATGGAAGGCCAGAATGATTCTAGGCTAATTGTTTGAAATATGGAAAATTAAAATCAAAGAATAAGTAGATTATTATAAATATCCATTTAATATTATGCATATTAGCTTTTTGCATTATCTTCTAAGACATTTCATTTCATTTCCGGTCCATTTTGTTAGCCAGCCGCAAAGTATGCAATGAAATTGTAGGAATGGGCAAGATGGCGACCCCGGGTTTTTCAGCCGAAATTCAAGCAATTTACCGCCATTGTTGGCCATTTAAATAGGCAATGAACCTGCATTAAGAATTAAAGACTTCATTAAATCCTCAGTACTGCACATTAAACAAACATAATTCCGCCTTTTGCCTTTTACTGTTTGCTCTGGCCATTGTCGTCGTGGCGATTTCTTGGTTTATTTTTTTTAGCCACCGCCGTTGTTGTTGTTTTTGTTGTTGTTCATGGTGCCTGATTCGCATTTAATCTCATCAGGTTGCCGACGTCCTCGTCAGGGGTGCAGTGAGCCATGGCCCCACATCAGCCCATCAGCCCCATCAGCCTGAAATGCGGGGTGACAGGGCAGCCCGCCGCAGATTTGATGGGGGCCACAGCTGCCGCTGACGCAGACGCCGACGTCGACGGCGCAGTCGGCTTCTGCAGGTGACAGGTGAGCACTGCGCTGGCAGCGGCAATAAAAAGCATGTAAATGAGGCGGGATTTGGCCTAGGCCAAGACCCCGGGCCCAGCTATCTGCCGCCTGCGGTTATATAATGTTGTGACAAGCCGTCCCCAGCGACCAAAAGGTGTTAACCCAGTGGATCTGATCTCTGGCCTACACGGATCAAAAACAGCTCGTTGAAGAGCATGTATTGGCAAGTAATAAGGTTAATTCGGTTAGTTCTCTTGTAAATATATTTGTAGGTATTCTATTTTTTAATTTTTCAACGTTTAGTTTAGTCATGATGTTGTGATATTTAAAGCTAAGAAAAATTAAAGAAATCTATTGTAATTTATTGTCTTATTATTGTTTTCCTAATTACATATGTGTCATGCAAGCATAAATCTTATAAAAATAGTTTCTACAATTTTCAGAAATATTATAGATTGACTCAAAACGTTTAAAACCATTAAAAGATGTGAAGAGCACATTTTGATGATGAACACGTTTTTTGACATCTTGAAAGGTATATTTCTCGTTCAATATTACTATCACTTATCATGTTTTCTCAGGAATATAAATCTTAAAACATTTTTAAGTATTATTTATTTTCTCTCAACATTTAAATCATTTATTCATGTGTTCTTAAAAAATATATTATCATACTTTTGTGACTTGCCTGCAGGTTTTATCGCATAGCAGCTTTGTTCTGCTTACAAAAAGCTTAGAAATATAATAAGAAGATTATCCCATGGTAAACATTTTTTTCCTGTGTAAGAGTGAGGGGCGTGAACATGGGCGCGTGCCACCTTTCTGTTGTTTTTTTTTATTCCACCTCTGCTGGCAGTTAATCAGAGAAATTAAGCAAAGTACTAAACGCGGCAGAGCTTGGATCGCCAGCTGTGCAGCGGAGACGCAGGACGAGAGGCGTGACGAGGCTGACGACATCCAGCCAGGACACCAAGCTGTGCAGGACAATGGAAGCCAGCGGGTGGACCCAGGACCAAAAGCGAAGGCAGACCCAGAACAAGTAGTGATTGCCCCAACAATTGCTGTGGCTTTAGGTTGCCCATTGCCCATTCAACAGGGCCAACAGTTGGAGCAGCAAGAGCAAACATTCCAGTCAGCTGATGAGGATTGGGGGAGGAGATGGCAGATGGAGGTGGAGGAGTAGATGGAGCAACTGGAGGAGGAGGTGTTGCTCCCACTCACACGCACAAATCCAACGCCGCTGGTTGCTGCTATTGTTGCTATTATTCTCGCTGGGATGGCTGGCGTCGCTGCCGGCGTTTTTCCACCGCCGCCGCCGCCGAGGCATCGACGTGTTCCTCAACAAGCCCAGCCAGCAATCAGTTGGGCGCTGGATACGAACGCGTGCAGTGTGGACTTTCGAATTGGCCAAAAATACTAGAGTGGAATCGAGAAAAATATATACAGAGTTCCCTGGCGAAACAAAAGGAAACGTTGGAAACGCTTATATTTTCGGTTATATAGCCACCAAAATTTATGCCATTCCGTTTGTCAATAAAAAAAAAAAGAGACCAAACAAAACCAAAAAACCCAGAAACGTAAACAGAAACCGAAACGAAGTGAACGGAGGAGCGAAAAGAAAGACATCATATTGAATTTATGGTGTAGGTGCAGCGTGGTGGTCCTCGGGGATGGGATATCCTGGCATGCTCCTTGTCG